TTTATATTGGTGTTTATTTCATCAAGTTATGTAATTTGGGACTTTTATTCAGTTATTTTTCTGTAAAAAACGTGTGTTTATTTGTTTACTTATTGTTCTACCGCTTCTAGCCCATTTTCAAGTATAATGCTTCCCTATCTTCCTATCAATGTACAGTCTGCTCTGCCATACTTCCATAGATAACTTAAAGGGCAAATGGACTGTTAATAAGAAAGGAAAATTATGGACCAATATTGAAACCTCTGGAATATGGTTTCTTGAGCCTAAAACTAATTGAATTTCTACACTACCAACTTGGTTTTTTTCTTCAGCTTTTTATTTCTATGGTACATTAATAAGACGATTTACCTTCGCGGTTATTATTGACTCTAAACCTTGTCTTTTTTAAATAACGTGGAAGTTTTTTTTGAGCTTATTTTGGGGCTGCTATTTTCATTCATAGGACTTGTTTGAATGCTTGTATTTTTATCTATCTGGTTCTTTTTTTATCGCCTTTAGAACTTGTAGGGACTTCCATTTGCAGTGTACATTTTAGCAGCTCAGCTGATGGTGACATTTTAATCTCTGTTTCATCCAAAATCGTTTTTTTCCTGTTTAAGGCAAGCACTTTCTCTTTCTCTTATAAATTAAACTCACGTCTCTAGTCACGTATATGCTCCATCAATATCGTTTGATCTCACGGCTTTCGGCAAAATTCCCGCCCTTTTTGTCTTCCTCCCTGGCCTTCCACCGGGTAAGAGAGGGAGTTACGTCTAGTTCAGTCATTGGAGATAAACAACAACAAGACGGTTTAGCAGTGATGCGGCAGAGGGCAGCCTGGTTGGAAAGTGCTGCCCTAATGAAGATTGATGCTTCACCCTTATGTATGATGTGCGCCCGGACTCTGTGGTAGCAGTAACCTCAGTACTAATGGGTGCCAGTTTGGATGAGAAAAAGGTAACCCAAACCCAAAATCCAAAAGAGAAAAGGGAAGTGAAGAGGTCATACTAATTCCTGCCTTTTAATGGGCATTGTGTGAGAGCCTCGTTAGGTGCTAGATCATCTCTAATGTGCGCTAATAATGGTTTAGTCGTTTTTCTTACAGTCCGAGTACTTACTCTCTTAATCGTTAGTTATCTTAACAACTATTTTGCGGTTGGATGTTATTATCTTGAAGACAAGAAGCATATAGTGTTTTGAAGATTACCACTTACCGTTATAACGTTGGTTGTATTATTTACAATGTTTGTTACATTGTCTAAATTTTTTTCGATCAGTGGCTGACACTGCAATTATCATACAGTTCTTTTAAGCAATCAGCTGAATGATATTCATATTTATGTTCCTAGTTCCATGGCCTGTAATTAAAACCTTCCCCTAATAATGACTATGTATTTTTAGATGCCCTTTTGTGCACTTTGTAAGGCGGTTCATTCGGTTAGATCTTGTCCCTTTCACAGTTTTCTATAAATTATGCGTATGTTTTGCAATGCCATGTTCTTTATTCGTGCCCACTTTTTGCTTTATACATTTCTTGGACTTGACATTAAGGATCTAGTATACCTTTAAGATTGGCCCTTTGCACGCTAGAAGAACATTCATCAAATCCTCCCAGCACTTCAAAATCCATTCTCCCTTACTGATTCCTCAATGATACTGTCAGGATTTGTGTATAGTTGTCATAATACACACAGGACATTATCGCAAACCTTCGTTTTTTTCTGTTTTTCATCTAGTAATTTTCTGCCTTCTGTTTATCAAGTTATATTGTCATTCCACGTTGCGATAAGATATTCACCTTTCGTAATTGATTTCACTCTGGCGTAGTCATTATCTTAGGTTTGACTATTTCTCAATGCGTGATTTGTCTGTTATCAACTAAGACAAGCATTTTGGCGCTAACTTTGCAACGCGATCATGTTTGCTTCACCTTTATCTCAATCCTTTCCTCTTTATCATCTTCCATGCTTTTCATTTGCCCTCTTCACCTCCATTGGCGTGTTTTACCCTTGAAAACAGGAGACGTGCCTCTCTGTTCTAGGTAACTGAAAGGTTGGCCCAAAATAAGCAGTCAACGCTTTTATAATCCGAGACAAGAGAATCGCCGAGCTCTTACTTGCCCTTCGGAGACTTCGAAAACAGTTCAGACACCTCAATCATGGCTATCTTGTGTCGGCAAAACATAAATCCCTTTACCACGCTCTTCGACTACATTACCAAATGCGCAATCGCTTTGGCTGTGCAACTGCGTTTTAGTATTCCGGTTTGTTATGTAAGGCCTGACATGTTCCAACAAATTACCGGGAAGAAGTAGTATCGATATCATTTTGGTTCATCGAGTTATTGGGCACGAAAGTAGAGATAATTCATTGCAATTTGTTTTATCTCTGTGACCTAGTGCCCGATGAATAGAAAACATCTTTACCAACGCGCTTTATACAGTACTCGAAAGCCTTTTTCGTTAAACTTCTTCACAGCTCGATGCATTACAGATTTTTACTGTTGATAAAGAGCATTATTTATGAAGGGATAAAATACTGGCTTGCATGCATCCAGACTAAGTAATTTATCACGATCCGCTGCGAACCTTACAAGGCTGTGGAAAAGGCAAATTTGAGACTCTTCGTAGCTCGCCAGGTAACTGTAAGATGAGTTATGTAAATTTTGATTAAGTAGTTTAGATTTCGTTTTATTGACCGATTCTTTGTACCGTAACTCCTTAGTGGGAAGATTGTTCCTTAAATAATGGTCGTTTTTCTTAACGGACAGGTTTTTGTCCCATGAAATTTAAGTGCAAATAAAAATTTAGTAGCACAAATTTGACCCAGATTGGGGTATGCCCGACCATTTTCGTGGTCATTTCTCATGCTTCTACGCAATGGCAGGGCTTTTGCTAATAAACAAGACCTCACTGAAGACACTCCAATCTTAGTCCATCCAAAGTTCAGAGATGATGAAATTCGCTTATACTTCAGTCACAAGGCTCAAATATCGGGTCAACTCTACTGCTGTAGTGGGCTGATTTCCTGTGAAGCGTTTTGCGTTTAACCTACGGTTCACACCGCACTCGGATAACACTGTTGGTTAGTCAGAAAAATTCCCACTTTAGGGGAGTTGCGGCCTCGAACATCTCTTGGGCTATTCACTTCCAACTTCTTGCCCATTCGAGTCCTTTGAACTGATGTTTTGCCGGTGATGAAGTTATCGGAGACATATATGCCTTCACTGCAGCACAGATTTGATAAATCGCACAACGACTGAATCACCATTAAAAGTTGAGTTGGATCATTGATGAGGAGAGATTTAGATTGCTGAGATTGTCTACTATTTACATATCCTTTTTAACCACTAATGCTCTTGTGTAAGCGCCTCCAAGCCATGTTGTTTACCGATTACTACAAGGTAAAAGAAGCGCAAAGTGCTCTAATCTGCTCTCATACGTCTCTACGCTCACATTTTTTTACCTCAGGTTTTCTGGAGCCACTGGGACAACCATATCTTCAAGGTACGGCAGGCCCAGGCAGCGGCGAAGGCGACGGCGACTCCTCCCCATTAGTCGCGTAAGTTTTTTTCGTGATTCTTTCGCTAGCGCCTTTCTTGTCTTTCATTGATCCGCCTTCTGTAGTACCTTGAAATTTGATGTCCTTATGCGTGTAACTAAGTGTCTTCTTATCGATATCACTATCACTTGACCTGAAGCAATCGATCCATCACTGTGCCAATTCATGAGGTCAAGTTTTGTGTGACGAGACACCTTAAAGACTCGTCTGGCACGAATCACTGGGCACAGTTATTATACCTGTGAATCTTGACAGGGCTACTAAACTGCCGCCTTCCGAGCTTTTTTTACGCTATCAAACAGGCAAAAAATAACCCTGTATTTCAGTAAGGCCGTCTTTGAATTCGCACATAGTGAACCAGACAGTTGGGCGCTTTTATCTAGTGATTTACTACGTTTCGTTCTGGTGTTTGCCGTCAAATGATATCTTCTAATAGCATTATTCATGTACTTGTGCAGTATTTATAGATGCGAATTATTGGCTCAATGGAAAGTTAAAATGCTATTTATGTTGTTTTATGTATTTTACTTGAATTCCATCACTTTTTAGACTCACATTTACGTAGGGCGCTTTTCTATTTGAATTCGAGGACGCTGAGACATTAAATGATCCGAGTTTTTTTTGCCTTCCTTTATCCTTACCAGCGCTGCTTACGGCCATTAATTATATCCCGCGACTCGTTCTTTACTTTTAAATAAGACTGTAGTTAATCCTTTTGATTTCATCTACAGTCTTTGAACTTCGTGCAGTAAGCAGTTTTGCTGCTGTCTTCCCCAACGGTAATGACTGTTTACGAGGCTATTTATAATCGCTGAGTTGATGAATTAGGCGCTGAGACAGTGGCTTATCTAGATTACCATTTGCCGGTTTCAATTTGAACAATTCTTATTCTTTTTGCTTCCAGTTGCCGGTTTTCTTCTCATTTGTTTACAGAAGAGTGACCTGGCTGTGTGGGCCGGTAGGAAGTGACCAGTCATGCAAAAATTGCAAACTTATCTGCTTTGGTGGTCGTGATTACTAAGCGGGTTGCATTTCTCAGTCTCAATGTGCTTACACTGTCCAAAATGTGCTTCATACTTCTGTTCACGAACTACACTACCAGTATCCAATGGTATGCTTTGCCAAAAATCCAAGCTTTGGACGTAGTATGTCATTGCACAATTATGCATTCCAAGGTCGAGTTTCTCCCACCCGAGTGTAGGAAGGAGGTTTTGTTGTGTCAAAAGCTACTTACACGAAAAGGCCGTCTCATACCGGCTTTCATTTCAAGTGTATTCTGCACCCGTGTGTCATGCAGACACGGCGTACCGCAGGACTAGCTTGTATTATCATTACCGTTGACGAAAGAGCCATTCTCCCAGTATTACCCCATTAATCACCACCTCGACCATAAATATCATGGCCGTTCTGGACTGCCTTACACGGTTTTTTGCGGGTGATTCCATTGCACAAGATAGATTTGATCAGCCTGAACATTGACTGCAGGCTGCAAAACGGTTTTTTGATTTTTTTTCTGCATTCTGTGAAATTGGGATTTGGCCATACACTCCAATTAGTCGTAGTATGCGCGGCACTGTCCATTTCCATATTCATCATTTTTTTGACGTCAGCATCAGGAACATTTATGAGCTAAAGTAATTTATGGCTCCTGCTGGCTCATTTACAGACATGGTTATTCCAGATCGGCGTCGGGTGTAGTTTACTATTTTTTTCTGTTAATTTTGTTGTCCCATTCGCCTTCCGCTCCTTTATTTTGTCCGATTGGTTATGTATTCATACCCCTATTTGAACCCCACCAGCGCAAGTTAGTCGTTCCATCGCTTCACACGGGACCTAATGATCTATCTCATATTCCTTTCTTTTATGGCAATGGATAAAAGGCTTATTTTATGTGAGCCAAATACCCCGAGTCTGAATCTTTTTCTTGGCCTTTGAAATCTTAAAAATGGTTCAGTGAAAAAAAGAGTCCTTTAAGAAATCTCTATCTGTCTCAAGGGAATCTCGTAACTCTGCATGAGAATTCATTTGGGGATTTCTTCAGTATAGCTTTATCATATTAAATATTTTTAGATATAAATAAGTGATTAGCAAAGCCTCGTTGTTATTCACCGTGAGTTCGACGAAGTTATTTCAAATCGTTCAGACGCATATGTGCGGTTCCTACCGCATTGCACTGTCGTAACATACCGAATTACAAATAGCCAAAGGCAAGTATAGACATGCTCTTTTTCGAAATATTGTTTTCTTGAAATGGGTCATGTAGTGCATGCAAATTTGAAATGAACTTCCTAATTTATTATTTTTCACTCTAAATTTATTTACGCGAGAGCTAACCAGTGTAGTCAATTATTCCCCGACATTCTACTTTCATGCTTCGTTCAAGAAATGAATGAGCTCTACTAAATTACCGATTTTAACCGTCCACTGGAGTTATTCCTTTGAAGAGATCGTCCTATACAATTGGTCTAGTTCACTTCGCCTTCTCTTTGCAGAAAATTGTAGTCTCTTCATACGAGTGACATTCCTTTAGACATCGCAAACATTCTTGCTAATTCCTATCCATTTTGGACAGGAGGTGATATTAGTGGCAACAACCCTGATTCTCAGAGCAGTGAGCTTGTTTAGTTTATGTCAAGCAGTGGGAAGGAAAATGTGCTGTTGAGGGACAGTTCTTTCACAGCGCTAACTTATCCTCATTTTTCATGAGATCCAAAAAAGTGGTATCACAACGGTAAATGGGCACAAATTAATGCAGCCATTAAAGAAGTTAGGAGCGGAAGCAAATTTAAGTGTTGACGCATCCTTTGCTTAATTAATGGGATCAGGAGACGGCGGAAAGTAGTGCCCATACGAACTGCTTTAATAGGCTATATAGCCACATTTCAAGATGTGAAAGGCAAAAGTGGTAGCTATGTAAATCCAAAAAGCCTCCGATTTAC